ATGGGGCCATTGGAGTCAATGGGATCAACGGGGCCATTTGGGGTCTATTGGGGTCCATGGGGGCCATTGGCATCAACGGGGCCATTGGGGTCAATGGGATCAATGGGGTCATTGGGGGCCATTGGGGTCAATGGGATCCATGGGGTCATTGGGGGCCATTGGGGTCAATGGGATCAATGGGGCCATTGGGGGCCATTGGGGTCAGTGGGATCAATGGGGCCATTTGGGGTCAATGGGATCCATGGGGCCATTGGGGGCCATTGGGGTCAATGGGATCCATGGGGGCCATTGGGGTCAATGGGGGCCATTTGGGGTCTATTGGGGTCAATGGGATCCATGAGGCCATTTGGGGTCTATTGGGGTCAATGGGATCAATGGGGGCCGTTTGGGGTCTATTGGGGTCAATGGGATCAATGGGGGCTGTTTGGGATCTATTGGGGTCAATGGGATCAATGGGGCCATTGGGGTCAGCGGGGCCATTGGGGTCAATGGGATCAATGGGGCCATTGGGGGCCATTGGGGTCAATGGGATCAATGGGGCCATTGGGGGCCATTGGGGTCAGTGGGATCAATGGGGCCATTTGGGGTCAATGGGATCCATGGGGCCATTGGGGGCCATTGGGGTCAATGGGATCCATGGGGGCCATTGGGGTCAATGGGGCCATTGGGGTCAGCGGGGCCATTGGGGGCCATTGGGGTCAATGGGATCAATGGGGGCCATTTGGGGTCTATTGGGGTCAGTGGGATCAATGGGGCCATTGGGGTCAATGGGGCCATTGGGGTCAGCGGGGCCATTGGGGTCTGTTGGGGCCATTGGGGGCCATTGGGGTCAATGGGATCCATGGGGCCATTGGGGTCAATGGGGGCCTTTGGGATGAACGGGGTCAATGGGATCCATGGGGCCATTGGAGGCCATTGGGGTCAATGGGATCAATGGGGGCCATTGGGGTCAATGGGATCAATGGGGCCATTGGGGGCCATTGGGGTCAATGGGATCCATGGGGGCCATTGGGGTCAATGGGGTCCATTGGGGTCAATGGGGCCCTTTGGGGTGAGCGGAGCTTTATGGGGTCAGCAGGGGGAACATTTGGGGTCGGTGGCATTGACCCCCCCTCCCCCCCCCCCTTCTTTTCCTCCCCCAGTTTTCGGGTCCCCCCCCGGCGGTGGAGGAGGGGCGGCTGCTGCGGGTGCTGGGGGACCCCATGACGGAGCAGCCGTACCCCACAGCGCTGCGCTCCTTCGGGGTCCCCGTAAAGCAGCGCCCCATAACCTGCATCGACGTCCTGGGGGGCGGCAGCCGGGAGCTGGAGAGGGCGGACAGGGAGATGGGTAGGGGGGGGTGTGGGGCTGGGGGGGGGTATGGGGTTATGGGGTGGGTATGGGGTTGTGGGGTGGGTATGGGGTTATGGGGTGGGTATGGGGTGGGTATGGAGTTATGGGGTGGATATGGAGTTATGGGGTGGGTATGGGGTGGGTATGGGGTTATGGGGTGGGTATGGAGTTATGGGGTGGGTATGGAGTTATGGGGTGGGTATGGGGTTATGGGGTGGGTATGGGGTGGGTATGGAGTTATGGGGTGGATATGGAGTTATGGGGTGGGTATGGGGTGGGTATGGGGTTATGGGGTGGGTATGGAGTTATGGGGTGGGTATGGAGTTATGGGGTGGGTATGGGGTTGTGGGGTGGGTATGGGGTTGTGGGGTAGGCGGACAGGGAGATGGGTGGGGGGGTGTGGGGCTGGGGGGGGGTATGGGGTTATGGGGTGGGTATGGGGTGGGTATGGAGTTATGGGGTGGATATGGAGTTATGGGGTGGGTATGGGGTGGGTATGGAGTTATGGGGTGGGTATGGGGTTATGGGGTGGGTATGGAGTTATGGGGTGGGTATGGAGTTATGGGGTGGGTATGGGGTTGTGGGGTAGGCGGACAGGGAGATGGGTGGGGGGGGTGTGGGGCTGGGGGGGGGTATGGGGTTATGGGGTGGGTATGGAGTTATGGGGTGGGTATGGGGTGGGTATGGAGTTATGGGGTGGGTATGGAGTTATGGGGTGGGTATGGGGTGGGTATGGGGTTGTGGGGTGGGCGGACAGGGAGATGGGTAGGGGGGGTGTGGGGCTGGGGGGGGTATGGGGTTATGGGGTGGGTATGGAGTTATGGGGTGGGTATGGGGTTGTGGGGTGGGTATGGGGTGGGTATGGAGTTATGGGGTGGGTATGGGGTGGGTATGGGGGGGATGTGGGGTGGGTATGGGGTTGTGGGGTGGGTATGGGGTTGTGGGGTGGGTATGGGGGGGGTATGGGGTGGGTATGGAGTTATGGGGTGGGTATGGAGTTATGGGGTGGGTATGGGGGGGATATGGGGTGGGTATGGGGGGAGTATGGAGTTATGGGGTGGGTATGGGGTGGGTATGGGGTGGGTATGGGGTTGTGGGGTGGGTGGACAGGGAGATGGGTGGGGGCGTGTGGGGCTGGGGGGGGTATGGGGTTATGGGGTGGGTATGGGGTTGTGGGGTGGGTATGGGGTTATGGGGTGGGTATGGATTTATGGGGTGGGTATGGGGGGGATGTGGGGTGGATATGGGGTTGGGAGTTTGGGGGGGGGATATGGGGTGGGTATGGGGTTGTGGGGTGGGTATGGGGTGGGTATGGAGTTATGGGGTGGATATGGAGTTGTGGGGTGGGTATGGGGTGGGTATGGGGTTGTGGGGTTGGGGGGCCATATGGGGTTGTGGGGTTATGGGGTGGGTGTAGGGTGGATATGGGGTTATGGGGGGGATATGGGCTTGTGGAATTGTGGGGTGGGTATGGGATTATGGGGTTATGGGGCAGCTGTGGGGTTATGGGGTGGTTATGGGGCGGCAGTGGGGCGGCAGTGGGATTATGGGGTGGCAGTGGGGTGGCTGTGGGGATATGGGGCGGCAGTGGGGCAGCTTTGGGGTTATTGGGCTGCTGTGGGGGTGGCAGTGGGGAGGCAGTGGGGCAGCAGTGGGGCAGCAGTGGGGTTATGGGGCGGCAGTGGGGCAGCAGTGGGGTTATGGGGCGGCAGTGGGGTGGCTGTAGGATTATGGGGCATCTATGGGGCAGTAGTGGGGCAGCTGTGGGACGACTGTGGGGTTATGGGGCAGCAGTGGGGCGGCAGTGGGGCGGCAGTGGGGCGGCTGTGTGGTTATGGGGCAGCTATGGGGCGGCTGTGGGGCGGCAGTGGGGTGGCTGTGTGGTTATGGGGCAGCTATGGGGCAGCAGTGGGGCGGCAGTGGGGCGGCTGTGTGGTTATGGGGCAGCTATGGGGCAGCATTGGGGCAGCAGTGGGGTGGCTGTGAGGCAGCAGTGGGGCAGCTATGGGGCGGCAGTGGGGCGCAGTGTGGGGCACAGTGGGGCAGCAGTGGGGCAGCTATGGGGCGGCAGTGGGGCAGCTGTGTGGTTATGGGGCAGCATTGGGGCAGCAGTGGGGCGGCAGTGGGGCATCTATGGGGCAGCAGTGGGGCAGCTGTGTGGTTATGGGGCAGCAGTGGGGCATCTATGGGGCAGCTGTGTGGTTATGGGGCAGCTGTGGGGCATCTATGGGGCAGCAGTGGGGCAGCTGTGGGGCAGCAGTGGGGCATCTATGGGGCAGCAGTGGGGCAGCAGAGGGGCAGCAGTGGGGCATCTATGGGGCAGCAGTGGGGCAGCAGTGGGGCAGCTGTGTGGTTATGGGGCAGCAGTGGGGCATCTATGGGGCAGCTGTGTGGTTATGGGGCAGCAGTGGGGCAGCAGTGGGGCAGCAGTGGGGCAGCAGTGGGGCAGCAGTGGGGCAGCTGTGTGGTTATGGGGCAGCAGTGGGGCATCTATGGGGCAGCTGTGTGGTTATGGGGCAGCAGTGGGGCAGCAGTGGGGCGGCAGTGGGGCAGCAGTGGGGTTATGGGCAGCTGTGGGGCAGCTGTGGGGCATCTATGGGGCAGCAGTGGGGGCAGCAGTGGGGCAGCAGTGGGGCAGCTGTGGGGCAGCAGTGGGGCAGCAGTGGGGCAGCAGTGGGGCGGCTCCCCGCAGGCCTGGCCTTGGACCCCTGGGACGTGCAGTTCTACAGCCGGCTGTTCTGCAGCGCCGGCAGGAATCCGACCTGCGTGGAGTGCTTTGATATCGCGCAGTCCAACAGGTCGGAGCTCCTTAATTAGCGCCCTCGTTAATTAGCGCCCGCAATCAATGAGTGGTCCCAATTAATGAGTGGCCCCAATCAATGAATGGCCGCAATCAACGAGTGGCCCCAATTAATGAATGGCCCCAATTAATGAGTGGCCCCAATCAATGAGTGGCCCCAATTAATGAGTGGCCCCTGTGACCCCATCAGTGACCCCAATCACTGCCCCCAACGAAGGACTGACCGCAATTAATTAATGACTGACCGCAATTAATGAGGTGACCGCAATTAATGAGAGACCCCAGTGACCCCAGTGACCCCATGGATCCCAATGACCCCATTCCCCCTATTGACCCCATGACCCCATGACCCCATGACCCCAATGTCCCCATTGACCCCAATGCCCCCATTGACCCCACTGACCCCAATGCCCCCATTGCCCCCACTGCCCCCATTGACCCCAATGCCCCCATTGACCCCATTGCCCCCATTGTCCCTATTGCCCCCATTGACCCCATTGCCCCCATTGTCCCCATTGCCCCCATTGACCCCATTGCCCCCATTGGCCCCAATGCCCCCATTGACCCCAATGACCCCAATGCCCCCATTGACCCCACTGACCCCCAATGCCCCCATTAACCCCAATGCCCCCATTGACCCCCATGTCCCCGATGCCCCCATTGACCCCAATGCCCCCACTGACCCCAGTGCCCCCATTGACCCCAATGCCCGCATTGACCCCAATGCCCCCCGCTGACCCCAATGCCCCCATTGACCCCAATGCCCCCATTGCCCCCAATGCCCCCATTGCCCCCAATGCCCCCACTGACCCCGCCGTCCCCCCCCCCCGCGCAGCTGAGCACAGCCGCCATTGGTTCTTCAAGGCCGCCTGGTGGTGGATGGGCAGGAGGAGCCGCAGTCCCTGTTTGAGAGCATCATGGGAACACAGCGCTGCAGCAACGCCAACAACGTCATCAAGTTCTGCGACAACAGCAGGTGCCCAAGGGGGGCAGCAGGGGCACGGCACCCATGGGTGGCCCTATGGGGTGGCAGCAGGGGCAACGGCACCCATGGGTGGCCCTATGGGTGGCTGGAGGATCAGGGCACCCATGGGTGGCCCTATGGGGTGGCTGCATGGTCGACAAAGGCATGAGTGACTCTATAGGGTGCTTGTAGGGTCACGGCACCCATGGGTGGCCCTATGGGGTGGCTGGAGGGTCAGGGCACCCATGGGTGGCCCTATGGGGTGGCTGGAGGGTCAGGGCACCCATGGGTGGCCCTATGGGTGGCTGGAGGATCAGGGCACCCATGGGTGGCCCTATGGGGTGGCTGCATGGTCGACAAAGGCATGAGTGACTCTATAGGGTGCTTGTAGGGTCACGGCACCCATGGGTGGCCCTATGGGGTGGCTGGAGGGTCAGGGCACCCATGGGTGGCCCTATGGGGTGGCTGGAGGGTCAGGGCACCCATGGGTGGCCCTATGGAGTGGCTGGAGGGTCAGGGCACCCATGGGTGCCTCTATGGGGTGGCTGCAGGGTCGACAAAGGCATGAGTGGCTCTATGGGGTGCTTGTAGGGTCACGGCACCCATGGGTGGCCCTATGGGTGGCTGGAGGATCAGGGCACCCATGGGTGGCCCTATGGGGTGGCTGCAGGGGCACAGCACCCATGGGTGGCCCTATGGGGTGGCTGGAGGGTCAGGGCACCCGTGGGTGGCCCTATGGGTGGCTGGAGGGTCAGGGCACCCATGGGTGGCGCTATGGGTGGCTGGAGGGTCAGGGCACCCATGGGTGGCGCTATGGGTGGCTGGAGGGTCAGGGCACCCATGGGTGGCGCTATGGGTGGCTGGAGGGTCAGGGCACCCATGGGTGGCCCTATGGGTGGCTGGAGGGTCAGGGCACCCATGGGTGGCCCTATGGGGTGGCTGGAGAGTCAGGGCACCCATGGGTGGCCCTATGGGTGGCTGGAGGGTCAGGGCACCCATGGGTGGCCCTATGGGTGGCTGGAGGGTCAGGGCACCCATGGGTGGCCCTATGAGGTGGCTGGAGGGTCAGGGCACCCATGGGTGGCCCTATGGGGTGGCTGGAGGGTCAGGGCACCCATGGGTGGCCCTATGGGGTGGCTGGAGGGTCAGGGCACCCATGGGTGGCCCTATGGGTGGCTGGAGGGTCAGGGCACCCATGGGTGGCCCTATGGGTGGCTGGAGGTTCAGGGCACCCATGGGTGGCCCTATGGGTGGCTGGAGGGTCAGGGCACCCATGGGTGGCCCTATGGGTGGCTGGAGGGTCAGGGCACCCATGGGTGGCCCTATGGGTGGCTGGAGGGTCATTTCCTCCATGGGAGCCCCTATAGGGTGTCTATGTGTGCCCCCACCCATGGGTGCCCTGATGACCCCCCCCCCCAGGTGTCCCTCCTCCCTCCTCACCTATGGGTTTCCCCCCCCCCCCGCCCCACCCATGGCTGTTCCTCTATGGAGTCTCGACCCCCCCCCCCCCTCCCATGGGTGCCCCCGTATGGATTCTCATCCCCCCCCCACCCATGGGTGCCCCTATATTTAGTCTCGTTCCCTCCCCCCACCCATGGGTGCCGCCCTATGGACTCTCCCCCCCCCCACCCATGGGTGCCCCCCTATGGACTCTCCCCCCCCACCCATGGGTGCCCCCCCTATGGATTCTCCCCCCCCCCACCCATGGGTGCCCCTACATGCAGTCTCATTCCCCCCCCCACCCATGGGTGCCCCCCTATGGACTCTTCCCCCCCCCACCCATGGGTGCCCCCCTATGGACTCTCCCCCCCCACCCATGGGTGCCCCTACATGCAGTCTCATCCCCCCCCCACCCATGGGTGCCCCCCTATGGATTCTCCCCCCCCCACCCATGGGTGCCCCTACATGGCAGTCTCATTCCCCCCCCCACCCATGGGTGCCCCCCTATGGACTCTTCCCCCCCCACCCATGGGTGCCCCCCTATGGACTCTCCCCCCCCCACCCATGGGTGCCCCTACATGCAGTCTCATCCCCCCCCCACCCATGGGTGCCCCCCTATGGATTCTCCCCCCCCCACCCATGGGTGCCCCTACATGCAGTCTCACCCCCCCCACCCATGGGTGCTCCCCTATGGACTCTCCCCCCCCCACCCATGGGTGCCCCCCTATGGACTCTTCCCCCCCCCACCCATGGGTGCCCCCCCTATGGACTCTCCCCCCCCCACCCATGGGTGCCCCTACATGCAGTCTCATCCCCCCCCCCACCCATGGGTGCCCCCCCTATGCACTCTCCCCCCCCCCACCCATGGGTGCCCCTACATGCAGTCTCATCCCCCCCCCCACCCATGGGTGCCCCTATATGGAGTCTTGTTCCCCCCCCACCCATGGCTGCCCCTCCCCCCCCACCCCATGGGTGCCCCTACATGCAGTCTCATCCCCCCACCCCCCCACCCATGGGTGCCCCCCTATGGACTCTCACCCCCCCACCCATGGGTGCCCCCCTATGGATTCTCACCCCCCCCCACCCATGGGTGCCCCCAGCGCCATCCGCGGCTCCTCGGTTCCCTGCCTGCTCCCCTCGGACCCCACGCGGCCCAGCGCCCTGCGGCAGCTCAGCAGCACCCGGCACGTCCTGCTCACCGCCGAGACCCACAACTTCCCCACCGGTAATTAAGGAGGGCGCTAATTAATGAGGGCGGGTCATTAGCGGGGGGGGGGGGGTAATTAGGGGGATTGGGTGCTAAGGAGGGGATTTGGGTGCTAATTGAGGGGGGCTTTGGGTGGTAATCAGGGGGGCTTTGGGCGGTAAATGGGAGGGGGTGGGCGCTGCTTGTGGGGTTGAGGGTGTTAATTAGGGGGAGCACTAAGTAGGGAGGGACTAATTAAGGGTGTTGAGGGCTAATTAGGGGGAGCACTAATTAGGGAGGTGCTAATTAGGGGGATTGGGCGCTAATGAGGGGGTTTCGGTGCTAATTGGGGGCTTTGGGTGGTAATCAGGGGGGCTTTGGGCGGTAAATGGGGGCTTGTGGGCACTGCTTGTGGGGTTGAGGGTGTTAATTAGGGGGAGCACTAATTAGGGAGGGACTAATTAAGGGTGTTGAGGGCTAATTAGGTGGGGTTGGGTGGTAATTGGGGGGGTTTGGGGGCTAATTGGGGGCTTTGGGCAGTAAAGGAGGGGGGTTATGGCGGCTGAATGTGGGGTTGTGGAGGCTAATGAGGGGGGTCACTAATTAGGGAGGTGCTAATTAGGGGGATTAGGCGCTAATGAGGGGGTTTGGGTGCTAATTGAGGGGGGCTTTGGGTGGTAAATGGGGGCTTGTGGCACTACTTGGGGGGTTGATGGCGTTAATTAGGGGAACACTAATTAGGGAGGGACTAATTAAGGGACTAATTAAGGGTGTTGAGGGCTAATTAGGTGGGGTTGGGTGGTAATTAGGGGCGCTTTGAGTGGTAAATGGGAGGGGGTGGGCGCTAATTAGGGGGCTGTGGGGGCTGATTAGGGGCCTGTGGGCGCTAATTAGGGGGCTCTGGGTGCTAATTAGGGGACTTTGGGCACTAATTAGGGGACTTTGGGCACTAATTAGGGGGCTTTGGGTGGTAATCAGGGGGGCTTTGGGTGGTAAATGGGGGCTTGTGGGCAGTCAGTAATTAAGGGTTGGTGGTCAGTAATTAAGGGTTGGTGGTCAGTAATTAAGGGGTAGCAGTCAGTAATTAAGGGTTGGTGGTCAGTAATTAAGGGTTGGTGGTCAGTAATTAAGGGGTGGCAGTCAGTAATTAAGGGTTGGTGGTCAGTAATTAAGGGGTGGCAGTCAGTAATTAAGGGGTGGCGGTCAGTAATTAAGGGGTGGCAGTCAGTAATTAAGGGGTGGCGGTCAGTAACTGAGGGTTGGTGGTCAGTAATTAAGGGTTGGTGGTCAGTAATTAAGGGTTGGCGGTCAGTAATTAAGGGGTGGCGGTCGGTAATTAAGGGGTGGCGGCCGTTAATGAAGGGGTGGCGGTGGTTAATGAAGGCGCTCGCTAATTAGCGCTCATTACCGCAGCCGTGGCTCCGTTCAGCGGCGCCACCACGGGAACCGGCGGCCGCATTCGGGACGTGCAGAGCGCGGGGCGCGGCGGCGCCGTCATGGCGGCAACGGCGGGGTACAGCTTTGGCTGCCTGCTGCTGCCCGGTGAGACGTAGCGCCCCCTAGCGGCACGGAGCGGCACGGAGCGGCACATAGCGCCCCATAGCGACACGGAGCGGCACATAGCGCCCCATAGCGGCCATAGCGGCCATAGCACCCCATAGCGCCCCCTAGCGGCACGGAGCGGCACGGAGCGGCACATAGCGCCCCATAGCGCCCATAGCGACCATAGCGACCCATAGCGCCCCCTAGCGGCACGGAGCGGCACATAGCGCCCCCTAGCGGCACGGAGCGGCACATAGCGCCCCATAGCGCCCATAGCGACCATAGCGACCCATAGCACCCCCTAGCGGCACGGAGCGGCACGGAGCGGCACATAGCGCCCCATAGCGACCATAGCGACCATATCGACCCATAGCGCCCCCTAGCGGCACGGAGCGGCACGGAGCGGCACATAGCGCCCCATAGCGCCCATAGCGACCATAGCGACCCATAGCGCCCCCTAGCGGCACGGAGCGGCACGGAGCGGCACATAGCGCCCCATAGCGCCCATAGCGCCCCATAGCGCCCATAGCACCCCATAGCGCCCCCTAGCGGCACGGAGCGGCACGGAGCGGTACATAGCGCCCCATAGCGCCCCATAGCGACCATAGCACCCCATAGCGGCCATAGCGGCCATAGCACCCCATAGCGCCCCCTAGCGGCATGGAGTGGCACATAGTGCCCCATAGCGCCCATAGCGGCCATAGCGACCCATAGCGCCCCCTAGCGGCACGGAGCGGCACATAGCGCCCCATAGCGACCATAGCACCCCATAGCGGCCATAGCGGCCATAGCACCCCATAGCGCCCCCTAGCGGCACGGAGCGGCACATAGCGCCCCATAGCGCCCATAGCGACCATAGCACCCCATAGCGGCCATAGCGACCATAGCACCCCATAGCGCCCCCTAGCGACACGGAGCGGCACATAGCGCCCCATAGCGCCCCATAGCGGCACAGAGCGGCACATAGCGCCCCATAGCGCCCCATAGCGCCCCATAGCGGCACGGAGCGGCACATAGCGCCCCCTAGCGGCACGGAGCGGCACATAGCGCCCCGTAGCGCCCATAGCGACCATAGCACCCCATAGCGCCCATAGCGGCACGGAGCAGCATATAGCGCCCCATAGCGCCCATAGCGGCCATAGCACCCCATAGCGCCCCCTAGCGGCATGGAGCGGCACATAGCGTCCCATAGCGCCCATAGCGGCCATAGCGACCCATAGCGCCCCCTAGCGCACGGAGCGGCACATAGCGCCCCATAGCGGCACGGAGCGGCACATAGCGCCCCATAGCGGCCATAGCGACCATAGCGACCCATAGCGCCCCCTAGCGACACGGAGCGGCACATAGCGCCCCATAGCGGCACGGAGCGGCACATAGCGCCCCATAGCGGCACGGAGCGGCACATAGCGCCCCATAGCGGCCATAGCGCCGCACAGCGGCCAGAGCGCGCGTAGCAGCCAGAGCGGCCAGAGCGGCCAGAGCGCCCATAGCGCCCCATAGCGGCCAGAGCGGCCATAGCGACCATAGCACCCCATAGCGACCATAGCGCCCATAGCGCCCATAGCGCCCATAGCGCCGCGCAGCGGCCGGAGCGCGCGTAGCAACCATAGCGCCCAGAGCGCCCATAGCTGCCCCATAACCGCCCCATAGCCACCCCATAGCTGCCCCATAGCTGCCCCATAGCCGCCCCATAGCCACCCCATAGCTGCCCCATAGCTGCCCCATAGCTGCCCCATAGCAACTCCATTAACGGCCCCACAGCTGCCCCATAGCAGCCCTATAGTTGCCCCACAGCTGCCCCATAGCTACACCATAACAGCAACCCACAAACTCCTTTAGGACCCCATAATCCCTTTGTAACCCCATAAATCCTTTGGGACCCCATAAATTCCTTTTAGGACCCCATGAATCCATTTAGGACCACCCCAAATCCCTTTGGGACCCCCTCAATCCCTTTAGTACCCCATAAACCCCTTTAGGACCCCATAAATTCCTTTTAGGACCCCATAAACCCCTTTAGCACCCCATAAATCCTTTGGGACCCCATAAATCCCTTTGTAACCCCATAAATCCCTTTAGGACCCTATAAATCCCTTTGGGACCCCCTCAATCCCTTTGGGACCCCATAAATCCCTTTGGGATCCCATAAATCCCTTTAGGACCCCATAAATCCCTTTAGGACCACCCCAAAATCCCTTTGGGACCCCATAAATCCCTTTAGGACCCCATAAATCCCTTTGTAACCCCACAAACCCCTTTAGGACCCCTTCAATCCCTTTGGGACCCCACAACCCCATAACCCCCCCATACCCCCCCTTTATAGGGTACCCCTTACCCTGGGAGGACGCCTCCCTGCCGTACCCCAAATCCTTCGCCCGCCCCAAATGACCCAAATGGGGTCCCCCTAAATCCTTTTAGGACCCCATAAATCCCTTTGGAATCCCATAAATTCCTTTAGGACCCCATAATTCCCTTTGGGACCCCATAAATCCCTTTGGCACCCCATAAATCCCTTTAGGACCACATAAACCCTTTAGGACCCCATAAATCCCTTTGAGACCCCATAAATCCCTTTGGGACCACCCCAAATCCCTTTGGGACCCCATGAATCCATTTAGGACCACCCCAAATCCCTTTAGGACCCCCTCAATCCCTTTAGGACCCCATAAATCCCTTTGGGACCCTATAAATCCTTTTAGGACCCCATAATTCCACTTGGGACCCCCATAAATCCCTTTGGGACCCCATAAATCCCTTTAGGACCCCCATCTCCCCTTTAGGACCCTATAAATCCCTTTGGGACCCCCTCAATCCCTTTGTAACCCCATAAACCCCTTTGGGACCCCCTCAATCCCTTTGGGACCCCACAACCCCATAACCCCCCCATACCCCCCCTTTATAGGGTACCCCTTGCCCTGGGAGGACGCCTCCCTGCCGTACCCCAAATCCTTCGCCCGCCCCATAGAAGTCGCCATCGGGGCCAGCAATGGGGCCAGCGACTACGGGAACAAATTCGGGGAGCCCGTGGTGGCAGGTGAGACCCCAATGTGGGACCCTATAGGACTTGTGGGGTCGGCCCTATTGGGGGGATTGGGGGCGTTATGGGGGAGGGGGGGGAGACCCCGATATGGGACCCTATAGGATTTGGGGTCAGCCCTATTAGGGGGATTGGGGGCGTTATGGGGGAGGGGGGGGGAGACCCCGATATGGGACCCTATAGGGACTTGTGGGGTCATTGAAGGGGAGGGGGGAGACCCCAATATGGGACCCTATAGGATTTGGGGTCGGCCCTATTAGGGGATTGGGGGCATTATGGGGGAGGAGGGGGAGACCCCAATGTGGGACCCTATAGGATTGGGGTCGGCCCTATTGGGGGGATTGGGGGCGTTATGGGGGAGGGTGGGGAGACCCCGATATGGGACCCTATAGGATTTGGGGTCAGGCCCTATTGGGGGGATTGGGGGCATTATGGGGGGAGGGGGGAGACCCCAGTGTGGGAGACCCTATAGGATTTGGGGTCGGCCCTATTAGGGGCAGTTGGGGGGAGGAGGGAGACCCCATTATGGGACCCTATAGGACTTTTGGGGTCAGCCCTATTAGGGGCAGTTGGGGGAGGGGGGAGACCCCAATATGGGACCCTATAGGATTTGGGGTCGGCCCTATTAGGGGGATTGGGGGCGTTATGGGGGAGGAGGGGGAGATCCCAATGTGGGACCCTATAGGATTTGGGGGTCGGCCCTATTGGGGGGATTGGGGGCGTTATGGGGAGGGTGGGGAGACCCCGATATGGGACCCTATAGGATTTGGGGTCGGCCCTATTGGGGGGATTGGGGGCATTGAAGGGGAGGGGGAGACCCCAATATGGGACCCTATAGGACTTGTGGGTCGGCTCTATTAGGGGGATTTGGGGTCGTGGGGGAGGAGGAGGAGACCCCGATATGGGACCCTATAGGACTTTTGGGGTCGGCCCTATTAGGGGGATTGGGGGGAGAGGGGAGACCCCCGATATGGGACCCTATAGGACTTGTGGGGTCGGCCCTGTTAGGGACATTTGGGGTCATCATGGGGGAGGGGGGAGACTCAGTGTGGGAGACCCTATAGGATTTGGGGTCGGCCCTATTAGGGGCAGTTGGGGGGAGGGGAGAGACCCCAATATGGGACCCTATAGGGACTTTTGGGGTCGGCCCTATTAGGGGCAGTTGGGGGGAGGGGGGAGACCCCGATATGGGACCCTATAGGACTTGTGGGGTCATTGATGGGGGGGGGGGGAGACCCCATTATGGAACCCTATAGGACTTGTGGGGTCGGCCCTATTGGGGGGGTGGGGGGCATTATGGGGGAGGAGGGGGAGACCCTGATATGGGACCCTATAGGGACATTTGAGGTTGGCCCTATTAGGGGGGATTTGGGGTTATTCTGGGGGAGGGGGGAGACCCCAATGTGGGGGACCCCATAGGACTTGTGGGGTCGGCCCTATTAGGGGCAGTTGAGGTCGGCCCTATTAGGGATATTTGGGGTCGTTATGGGGGAGGAGGAGGAGACCCCGATATGGGACCCTTATAGGGACTTTTGGGGTCATTGATGGGGAGGGGAGAGACCCCGATATGGGACCCCATAGGACTTTTGGGGTCGGCCCTATTAGGGGGATTTGAGGTCATTGATGGGGAGGGAGGAGACCCCAGTATGGGACCCTATAGGACTTGGGGTCGGCCCTATTAGGGGCAGTTGGGGGGAGGGGGGAGACCCCGATATGGGACCCTATAGGGACTTTTGGGGTCAATGATGGGGAGGGGGGAGACCCCAATATGGGACCCTATAAGACTTTTGGGGTCGGCCCTATTAGGGACATTTGGGGTTATTCTGGGGGAGGGGGGAGACCCCAATGTGGGGGACCCTATAGGACTTGTGGGGTCGGCCCCTATTAGGGGGATTTGGGGTCATTATGGGGGAGGGGGGAGACCCGATATGGGACCCTATAGGGACATTTGGGGTTGGCCCTATTAGGGGGATTTGGGTTATTCTGGGGGAGGGGGGAGACCCCAATGTGGGGGACCCCATAGGACTTGTGGGGTCGGCCCTATTAGGGGCAGTTGGGGTCGGCCCTATTAGGGATATTTGGGGTCGTTATGGGGGAGGAGGAGGAGAACCCCGATATGGGACCTTATAGGGACTTTTGGGGTCATTGATGGGGAGGGGAGAGACCCCGATATGGGACCCCATAGCACTTTTGGGGTCGGCCCTATTAGGGGGATTTGAGGTCATTGATGGGGAGGGAGGAGACCCCCAATATGGGACCCTATAGGATTTTGGGGTCGGCCCTATTAGGGGGATTGGGGGCATTATGGGGGAGGGGAGAGACCCCAATATGGGACCCTATAGGACTTGGGGTCGGCTCTATTAGGGGGATTGGGGGGAGGGGGGGAGACCCCGATATGGGACCCTATAGGACTTTTGGGGTCATTGATGGGGAGGGGGAGACCCCAATATGGGACCCCATTGGGTGCCATTGGGGTGCCATTGTGGTGCCATAGGGTGCCATTGGGTGCCATTGTGGTGCCATGGGGGTGCCCTTGGGTGCCCTTGGGTGCCATTGTGGTACCATAGGGTGCCCTTGGGTGCCATTGGGTGCCCTTGGGTGCCATTGGGTGACCCTATGAGTGCCCTTGGTCGCCCTTGGGTGCCATTATGGTGCCCTTGGGTGCCCTTGGGTGCCATTGGGTGCCATTGGGTGACCCTATGAGTGCCCTTGGTCGCCCTTGGGTGCCACTGTGGTACCACTGGGTGCCATTGGGTGCCATTGGTGCCATTGGCTGCCCTTGGTTGCCCTTGGGTGCCCTTGTGGTACCATAGGGTACCCTTGGGTGCCATTGCGGTACCATTGCTGCCCTTGGTCTCCCTTGGGTGCCATGGCGGTACCACTGATTGCTGTTGGCTGCCCTTGGGTGCCACTGTGTTTCCCCTGGTCACCCTTGGGTGCCATTTTGCTACTGTTGGTTGCCGTTGGGTGCCCTTGGGTGCCGTTGCGGTACCACCGATTGCTGTTGGGCACCCTTGGGTGCCATTGTGGTACCATTGGGTGCCCTTGGGTGCCATTGTGGTACCATTGGGTGCCTTTGGTCTCCCTTGGGTGCCATTGCGGTACCACCGATTGCCGTTGGTGCCCTTGGGTGCCAATTGTGGTACCATTGGGTGCCCTTGGTCTCCCTTGGGTGCCGTTGCGGTACCACCGATTGCCGTTGGGTGCCCTTGGGTGCCATTGTGGTACCATTGGGTGCCCTTGGGTGCCATTGTGGTACCACTGATTGCCGTTGGGTGCCCTTGGTGCCATTGTGGTACCATTGGGTGCCTTGGGTGCCATTGTGGTACCACTGATTGCCGTTGGGTGCCCTTGGGTGCCATTGTGGTACCATTGGGTGCCCTTGGGTGCCATTGTGGTACCACTGATTGCCGTTGGGTGCCCTTGGGTGCCATTGTGGTACCATTGGGTGCCCTTGGGTGCCATTGTGGTACCACCGATTGCCGTTGGGTGCCCTTGGGTGCCATTGTGGTACCACTGATTGCCGTTGGGTGCCCTTGGGTGCCATTGCGGTACCACTGATTGCCGTTGGGTGCCCTTGGGTGCCATTGGGTGCCATTGTGGTACCATTGGGTGCCCTTGGGTGCCCTTGGGTGCCATTGCGGTACCACTGATTGCCCTTGGGTGCCCTTGGGTGCCACTGTGTTTCCCCTGGGCGCCCTCGGGTGCCATTGGGTGCCGCGGTTCCCGCAGGCTTTGCGCGTTCCTTCGCCTGGTGCTGCCGGGGGGGCAGCGCCGCGAGTGGGTGAAGCCCATCATGTTCAGCGGCGGCATCGGCGCCATCGACGACGGCCACGTCCACAAGGAGCCCCCCGAGCCGGGTCAGAGCCCCCGGGACCCCATAGCCCCCCATAGCACCCATGGGACCCCCATAGCCCCCCATAGCACCCATGGGACCCCGTAGCCCCCCATGGGACCCCCATAGCCCCCCCATAGCACCCATGGGACCCCATAGCCCCCCTGGGATCCCATAGCCCCCCCCATAGCACCCCTGGGACCCCATAGCACCCCTGGGACTCCCGTAGCACCCCTGGGACCCCCCATAACCCCCCCATAGCCCCCCCCTGGGACCCCATAGTCCCCCATAGCACCCATGGGACCCCGTAGCCCCCCCATAGCACCCATGGGACCCCATAACCCCCCCATGGCCCCCTGGGACCCCATAGCCCCCCATAGCCCCCATGGGACCCCCATAGCCCCCCATAGCCCCCATGGGACCCCATAGCCGCCCTGGGACCCCATAGCCCCCCATAGCCCCCATGGGACCCCATAGCCCCCCCATAGCCCCCCTGGGACCCCCATAGCCCCCCCATAGCACCCTGGGACCCCATAGCCCCCCATAGCCCCCCTGGGACCCCCATAACCCCCCCATGGCCCCCCTGGGACCCCATAGCCCCCCCATAGCACCCCTGGGACCCCCATAACCCCCTCATAGCACCCTGGACTCCCATAACCCCCCCATGGCCCCCCTGGGACCCCATAGCCCCCCATAGCACCCCTGGGACCCCCCATAACCCCCTCATAGCACCCATGGGACCCCCATAGCCCCCCATAGCACCCCTGGGACCCCATAGCCCCCCATAGCACCCCTGGGACCCCATAGCCCCCCTGGATCCCATAGCCCCCCCATAGCACCCCTGGGGACCCCCATAACCCCCTCATAGCACCCATGGGACCCCCATAGCCCCCCATAGCACCCCTGGGACCCCATAGCCCCCCTGGGATCCCATAGCCCCCCATAGCATCCCTGGGACCCCATAGCCCCCCTGGGATCCCATAGCCCCCCCATAGCACCCCTGGGACCCCCATAACCCCCTCATAGCACCCATGGGACCCCCATAGCCCCCAGAGCACCCCTGGGACCCATAGCACCCCCATAGCACCCCTGGGACCCCCATAGCCCCCCATAGCACCCATGGGACCCCGTAGCCCCCCATAGCCCCCCTGGGACCCCATAGCCCCCCCATAGCCCCCCTGGGAACCCATAGCCCCCCATAGCACCCCTGGGACCCCATAGCAACCCCATAGCACCCCTGGATCCCATAGCCCCCTGGGACCCCATAACCCCCCATAGCACCCATGGGACCCCATAGCCCCCCTGGGACCCCATAGCCCCCCCATAGCACCCATGGGACCCCATAGCCCCCTGGGACCCCATAACCCCCCCATAGCCCCCCTGGGACCCCATAGCACCCCTGGGACCCCATAGCCCCCCCATAGCACTCCTGGACCCCACAGCCCCCATGGGACCCCCATAACCTCCCCATAGCCCCCTGGGACCCCATAGCCTGCCTTGGACCCCCATAACCCCCCATAGCCCCCTGGGACCCCATAGCACCCCTGGGACCCCTATAAGCCCCCATAGCCCCCTGGGACCCTATAGCTCCCCTGGGATCCCCATAGCCCCCCCATAGCACCCCTGGGACCCCACAGCCCCCCTGGGACCCCCATGTACCCCATAACCCCTCTGGACCCCCCTGTGACCCCAAATCCCAAATGGGACCCCAGACCCCCTATGGACCCCCCCAACTCCTCCATGGGACCCAAAATCGCCACCTCCATACCCCAAATCCCAAATGGGACCCCAGAACTCCATGGGACCCCCCCCAAATCCCCCATAGGACCCCAAATTCCCCATGGGACCCCCAAA